GCCTTCGATCGTGCAAACATCGCTAGCGAATATTCCATTAACGCTTGTGGATGTATTTTTGTTTATTCAGGATTTAATAACGAATTTTACCGAAAGTTTAACACCATCAATCCTCTATCAGTCCCCAACACATTGAGCTCATGAAAACATTAGAATTCATTAAATTTCGAGGACATGAGAGAAATGCAATTACCTGCTATAACACGGGTTGTTAAAAATGTTATTAAAATGTTATTAAAAAAACCAATTAAATGGAGTTTATACTCAATCCTAGTATATTCGATTGACGATGGATATCGATGGGAAATTGATTATCCCATGATTCCAATAACAATTTAAAAATATATTTGATTCGAGTATTTGTTTTTTTTTCGGGTATATTTTTTTACGTACTCTTCGAGCAGGTTCACCTGATTTTTCCTGATATTCTTCACCTTCGTGGAGGTTGTTTTAGCGACAACTGATTGTAGAAATAAAAAAAGTTCTGATTGAGACTTGATGGTGGAAAAATGGGAATAGAAACTCTGAGGTGCGCCCAACACTTCCGCAATCCCGAGATATTGATTTCGAGCCGGGGAGAAGGTGCTAGTATGTTTACCCCGCCCTGAATCATCAAGTACTCTTTGATGCCACTGTGCAAGTACAGAATCGTCTGGTGGTTTTTCGATTTCACACGAAAAAATCCAGCCTCAAAGGCAAAGTGGAAATAGTCACCTAAAGGTCAGACCTGCAGGAAATAAAAATATTATTTCAGAAATATCAACACACTCAAAAATTCATCGAAATTGTCCCCCTTTTGCCGGAATTCAGTTTTTTTTAGATTTCTGGAGAGTTGTTCATCTGATCGACGCGAAAAAATATATCGTTGTCACATTTTATAATTATTTATTGACTCAAAATGTTTTGATCGTGTAATCATTTTAAAAATCCATAGAACTTCAGGAAAAACGCAGGAATATTATAGCGCGTTCATAGATCTTCATGAGTTATCAAATAATTATGAGACGGAAAAATGATAAATTTTTTCGGATGAATTCGATCGACAATTTGTCTGAAAACTCAAAAAACTGGTAATTTCAACTAAAATGGAGTTTGTATTTAATCACAATAAAAAATCGGCATTAAATTTCGCGTTTGTCTAGAAAATTCAAGAAGTCTGGATTTTTCATACTAGATGATAATTGATTTTTCAGCGACAGCCAAATTATGGTGTTCACTGTAAAATTTAAAAATCAAATACAGTCAAATTTTTTATAGATTGAAAATTCGGGAAAATTATTGTAAAAATATTCAAATTTTTTAAAACAAAATTTCGAGAGTAATTTCCCCACTTAAATTCCGGAATACAAAAGATTCTAGACATTTAAGTATTTTTTTCGGTCAATTCAGATAAAAATTGCTAGGCGTACGATCTGCAAAAAATTCTGTAGCGCCTCGAAAAAATGGCGATAGAAAACTAGCGCATTCCCTCCAGTATTCCTGAATTTTTATGGAAATAAATACTTCAGGGTTTGCGTGAGCATTTTTTACAGTGATGAACACTGAAACGGAAAATTGGGCCGATGAAAAATTTCACCGAAATTGCTTACAACGGCGGAGTTATCAAACGTCACGACGTGAGACACGATAGCAGTAATTAATGAATTCGCTGACGTGAAATAACGTAGCGAGCTGTTTTTCCACCATGCGTTCTGTAATTTTGTTGAATAATCTGCTCATTCAACGGAGAAAAACGAGAATATTCCGGGAGTAATCTGCGCGATAATTAGGAGATGAGAAACACATGATTTCGCATGAATGCATCATTATATCCACTTCCGTGGAATGTCTTCACTGATTTACCCCAAGGGCCACTCCATGATTCAGTGATACCATGACTTCTTTTTTTTTTAATGCTTATTTTACATCGCTTCGAGTCGGAGGAGACTATGTGGCTATTGATCAAGACTTTTTTGAACCTGGTTAGATCTCACTAGTCTACCCGGCCAGGAATCGAACCTGGAACCTATCCGTTGTGATACCATGACTTCGAAAGTTCATAATTAATAGGCCCCATGACAAAACGCATGTAGAAATCGACGAGAGAAATTTTTAAAAAATTAATTATATTAATTATAATAATTATAAAAAATTTTAAAAAAAATTTCGTACACTTTTAAAAAGTTATTGCCCATATCTTCTCATTTTTTAAGTCTTTCACAAATATTTGAGCGACGACCTATAAAATCCGAAAAGAATGCACAACTTTCAGGTTTTATTATTACGAAATCGTTCGCAAGTGCTACGAATGCGCATTCATTCTCGCAATTTTGTCGATTTATCGATTTTATCCATGAAAATGAAACATTAAATGAATGAAATTTCGTCGATCCGTCGATTATTGAAAGTAGAATGCACTCGTCAGTCGATAATACGAAGTCCCCCGACCAAAATCGATTCATTCGGTTTTCAAAAACGAATGGAATAACGAGAGAAAATTAAACGTGTTATTTCTGTTGTTTTTTCGTAAGGTAGAAATCACTCGGATTACATCGTTTTATCTTGTTCGCCTGTTGTCAAATTTTATAACAACTGCTGCGATGTTATGAAAACATGTAAAGAGCCCAATCGGCTATGTTTGGATAAATAAATAATAATATTTAGTCTGCTTAATTCTTGATTCTTAGACATTTGATTGGGATTACCAATAATTTTCAAACAGAAATGGACATTCTTTATAAAAGTCCTATTCATGCAAATTTTTGAGGAATAAATTAGGTGAGAAATTAGCGTGTTATCATAAAAATTAGCACTAGAGTTTTAAATTAGTTGAATAATGATAAATATTTTCATCATAAGTAGTTAGCAAGATTGTGGAAGTGGGGGGATTAACCTCGCCTATCTCCCTTATCCCGTTACCTTTCATTTTTAATGAGAAGTATTTTTGTATTCCTCTTGGTCACGTTGGTTGAGTGAAATGGCCAGAAAGTGTCCCTTTATGAGACATTTAAAAATTGTCACGCCACGAGGATTTCTTTTTAGGAATAACGACGTCGTAGGCGGTTCTCTCGTTATCACGCGGACGTTTATACCGATAAATAACGACAGTGGGATGTCGACTATGAGAGAGTAGATTATTACTCACTGGGGGAAAACTACTTCACTTTTACACTTTACGATAGTTATAATACGATTACTGGTAGTCACGTTGCTCGTATGGTCTACCGCATTTCTGTGAATAAGCATTGCGATTAAAGGGCCTATCGATTTTTCAACTTTTCGATAGTTTCGACGGAGAGAATAAGTCTAAAAGCCATTAATCCACTCTTATTAACGATTATTTTATGTCGAGAGAGAAAAGTTGGCAAAAGTCATGAAAGATATATGAGAGGGGAGTGCCCGCGCTGGATAAGACAACTTAGGGTGAATTTTCGATTATTATCTGTAAATTGAAAACGTCCCTCATTTCAAAAATTTTTTTCCCCTTTCTTATGCGCACTATCAGAAAATATGCGCAAGTTCAAGAGAAAAATGTATTCAATTTACATGAATTGGGAATTTAATAATATACTAATATTTATTCTATGTAAATAAAATATGAAATGATAATTGTAATGATAAATCAATTTTGAATCATTAAAAAAAAATGGTTAGAGCGAACCATTTTTTGGGTATATAGAGTTGAAAGTATCTACCCTTTTTAGAAAACCAGATGTAACGAAAGGTGTCATTACATATCTTGGCTTATGAAAATGATTTTTTTAAAATAACTATAATGTACAATTTCAGACAAAATGTTCAATTCGATTTTCTATATGCAAATTACATTTTATAAACTGAACTCAATCCATTAGTTATGTATTAAAAGTATACAAGGTGGAAAAAAATTTCTTTTCATTCAATTTTTTATAAAATTTTTTTTATCAAACCCATTTTTTTTGCATGCGAACTTTATGGGGAGATTTAACGATTTTTACTGAATAATATCGAGTATGAATTGGGGAGGAAATAATTGGCGACAATAACCTTCACCGTAAAATTTACAATACACCTGAATTCTTTGTGCTTGTCCCTTAGGCATAGGTACGATGAAGTCATCCATGAAGATGGGGGTTGTTGCTTTGATAGGTGTGTGCGTAGTATTCTATCAGTATCACCTGTCCAATGGCGTGAGATTCGATCAATTGGCGGATTTTAACAGCCCGGATCCAGCATCAGCCTATGGCGCTGCCAATATTCCCGGCTCCGAGATGTACGACTACAATGGCCTCCGCAGGGTTTCAGAGGAAATGGTAAATCAATTGTTACTCATTGCAATGCACCTGCCATCATCTGGGAACAATAACATTATGGAATCAAGAATTTTTCATCAATTTAGAAACTTTTAAAAAAGGAATTATTTTCTGGGACTAAAACCTATAAGCCTTACTACTCATTGATACTCGTATATTCCACTTGAGTTTTATCACGAATTTTAATAAATTCTCTTCAAAGCCCGTGGGATAAAATAATAATAAAATCTACCGAAATCCGCGGGAAACTTCCGCTCCATAAATTCTCACCCAAAAAAAAACGGAAATATTTTCAAAATAGTCTAAAAGAATTGTTCAAAATCCAGGAATAGAATGAGTCTGTTTAGGAGTCATTTCAAGAAGTTAAATAATTGTAATGATTATTTAAAAATGCGAGGTGAGAGCGCCGCCATATTGAAAACGCATGGCGACACGCATTTTGAAAAAGTGATTGAAATCATTATAAATAAACTTATTATTTCCGTATAGAAAAATACCAAATTGTTCAAGTCATCAATAAGGACCTTGATATTACATTTTCTTGTGATTCCACGTCGCAAAGTTTCGAGGGCTATCCAGAGAACGATTTATTCTTTGGATCCGTTTCATAGAAAAAATATTGATAACAGCGTTATGTCAATATTTGAGCACTGCCAATAGCCGTACCTGATAGAAACTCCCCCGAGTATTACCACTGGTTATCAAGACGAGAAATGCACCTGTTTTTAAATTTACTTAACTATATTTAACGATGCAGTAGTTACATGGTGTTATTTACTGCTGTGATCACTGCGATAACGGACATCGCGTGATAACGAGTTTTGTATGAAAAGAAATCATGTCATTGTCTTCATGAGATTGTAATCCTATAATTGATGACAATTCCCTGAAAGCTTCTTAAATCATTCACAGATAAGAGCCGCTGTGCGAAACGTGCAAAATTCAAATGGTCTCAGCCCGGAGTTGGGTAATCTCTTGGTGCAAGAACTGATGGGTCAGTTCAATAAGCTAGAAGGAGTGAGACCTGAGAAGCCCTGTCCTCTACCATCGAAGAAGACCAGCACTCTGGATCCTCTGTACATTATCACACCGACTTACAGGAGACCAGAACAAATTCCTGAATTGACTAGAATGGCACATACACTCATGCTAGTTGAAAATGTCCACTGGCTAGTCATTGAGGATGCTAATGTCCCCACTGAGCAAGTCACTAAGCTGCTTAATAGGACGGGCATCAAATTTCAGCATCTAATAGGTAAAAACACAATATTCTCTACTTGAAGAAAAGTTCAAAGATATTTTTAAACTTGAAAAACATTCGGTTTGTTTGGGAAAAAATCTATACCCCATCGAGTCGACACTTGAAGATTTTTTGAAGAGGTGCATCTAGTGTGACTGTAAAAAAGACTGAAACAAATGTTTTTTAATTTGAGGATATATTTATAATAAATAATAAAAACAATAGAATTTTTAAACAAAATCTTCCTGATTAAATAATTTGTGGTTGAGTCATAACTGAGTTACAACAAATTTGAAAAATGTAGTTTTGAAAAAAATGTGTTTAAAGATTAAATATTTGATTTAATAGATGATAGATGTTAATATTACGCGGTAATTTGAAAACTATTTGAAATACGCATTTAAAATTTTCGTATTTTGTTTCTAAAGATATAAATTGTTGAAATGTAAAAAAAACGATTCTTTCATAATCTCACTGTCGATGTGCCACTTAAATATGGCAGAAGGATATGAAGTTAAGCTTCTTCGGCGTCGAAGGCAATCCTCTCTTTCAACGCGACCTGGAAAACATCTTAGCACAATTCCTAGATATTGAATGATAATTTTAGTTTGAAGATGTTCTCTGCCCCCTTTCAGCCGAAATTACCGTATTTTCAAGCTTTCTGACAAATTGTTAATCGGATTGACGCAAAAAATATACCGTTTTCGCACTCCATCATTATTTCATAGCTCACAAAGTTTCATGAGCGCAATAATTTTTCTGTATTTTTTTAAGGGTTTATGAATTTTTAAAAAATTTTGAAAAAAACGCAGGAGAATTATCGCGCGATCATGACCTTTCAGGAGGCATTGAGTACCGATAAAATACGAAAACGGCAGATTTTTTCTCATCAATCCAATTATCAATTTGTTTGAAAACTCGAAAGAATAGTTTTTAATTAATTTATTTAGTCAGAATTGTGGTTGAAAGGGGGTAGATCATTTCTAAAATCGAAATGAAGCTTTTCTAATGTCTGGTGATAATTACCGTAGCCCCGATGCCGGATAAATACAAGAACAAGAAGGGGGCGAAACCTCGAGGCGTTTCTAATCGGAATCGTGGCCTCAAGTGGATTCGAGCTAATGCCACTTCAGGGGTATTCTACTTCGCTGATGACGACAATACTTATGATATTGATCTTTTTAATGAGGTGAGCGATTAAATTCACGCTTGAGATTATTCAGTGATAGTTTTGAGAGACGAGTGGGGTACTTAATCAAATAGTATATGTACGTGGTAGAGTTTGGAGGTAGTTGATGTGGTCTATGAGAAGTTTGTTGGTGGCTTCAATTTCCAACGCTTTTGTTGAATAACGAACTGCTGACCTGGCAAATGTTTAGGAGCAACGGGTGACGATGTCATTCACATATTCAATGAAACCTTCACCGTCTCTCGATCAACAGTGTCGAATGCATAATGATAATTAGAGACGGTTTCACAATCCCCTCGGCGAACTGATTCAACTAAGCAGACCCATTTACGGCGATAACATAATGTGATACACAAAGTTCACATCCCGATTACATTTTCTCTATTCACTTTAGCTGGATGTAATTCACTTTTTGGATAATTCCAACTATACCTGCTATGAATTTAATTAAACAAGTAGAATATGTTCACGGCTATCCGAGATCTTTCGGTATTTTGTTTTAAATTTAATGTACATCTGTCCGCATTTACATCTGTCGAACGTAATCTTTGGTTTGAATCTTTGTCTTTTTAATGTTAAATATCTCTAGTCGAGACGTTCCGCCCTAGGGTGGAAAGTTGCCCAACTTTCCACCCTAGGGCGGAAAGTATTGACTTTTCTCCCGCCTTTCAGACTTTAAGTTGACAAGTAGCATGTGAAAATGGGCGGGAAAACACTGACTTTTCACTCAGGATACACAATATATTATTGGTTTACACAATTGATTTATCTATTTTCAGATAAGGCAGACGCAAAACGTGTCGATGTTTCCAGTAGGTTTGTGCACAAAATTCGGGATAAGCTCGCCAGTAGTGAAGAATGGAAAGTTCTCGGGTTTCTACGATGGTTGGATAGCAGGAAGGAAGTTTCCCGTTGACATGGCGGGTTTTGCTGTTAGTGTAAAATTTCTCCTGCAGCGGCCAAATGCGACAATGCCATATCGAGCTGGTTTCGAGGAGGATGGTTTTTTAAAAAGCCTTGCACCATTCAATCCCCGTGAAATTCAACTTCTAGCTGACAACTGCACCCGTGTGTTAGCGTGGCACACGCAGACCAAAAGAAACGAACCCAGTGCACCACTGGACATGAAACTGTACGGTGACACTAATTTAGTTCATCTCAAGCAGCAAATAGTATGATAATACTGAACCATCATTGATAATGGACTGCCGATCATAAACGAGATAAATGATCGGGTAGATTTTCGTTCCGGATACCAACGGAATGCAATAAATAATGTGATCCAGTGCCTATGAATGAATAACTTCCTACTGTCGGGTAATTGCACGAGGCGAATGATAAAGAGCCGATTATTTCATTTCTATAATGAAGTCTCGATCAGCCAATAAGTTGATGCGACACGATGAGAACATTAAATTTTTCATTGAAAAACAAAAACATTTCAATCGATAATTAACTTTTGAATTCAGAGAATTAGTTTTTTAACGAATGAAAATTGGGGATAAATTTTTCAAGCGCTTCCGAGTTATTTCGATTGATTAATAAAAATTGATATTTAAAATACTCGGTATGTTGAAGGAGGCGTTAGACGATGATAATTGTCGACAAATGCGTTATACTCAATATGCTATGAAGGCATTAAACAATACATGCATTAAACATCACTCGTAGTGATAACACAGTGACTCCCCTCCCATCCCCTTCCCCTCTCCTTCCCCCTCCCATCATGCACAACGACAACCTTGTTCAAATTTAGATTGGAAATTCAATTTATTATTCCATATTCAAATGAATTGTATTGAGAGAGAATTGCGATGTCTTAATAAATCCGTAATAAAGGCACTTTGGGCCCGACACAATGGGTAACAGGCCCTGTCCACTTATTACACAGATGTGTAACTGTTTACCACATGTACATTGTAAACTTATTTATTGTGATTTTTACATTGAGATGGAAAACGTCGAGGAAGATAATGCTCGTACAATTGTCAAGTTTTATTGTCAATAATTTTACCTTATTATTATCGACGAAAATGAACAAAGTGGAAATAATAAACGTTAGGAGACATGTATTATATTTGTATAATACGAATTGAGGAAAATATGAGTGCTTATTCATACGTCATACTCAGTAATATAGAATAAAAGAAAATCCAAAAAGTGATTATTACACTTAAGACTTCTTCTTTGTAAAATGTAAAATAATGAAATATAAGATCTCGCTTAGTTGTAATGAACTACGACTTATCCATTATCTATTCTCTCAACATATTAGCCTAGGTACAATATCACTCTTCAGTCGTAGATAAAAAAGTTTTTTTCATTGCATACAGAATATATATTTATCTTTCAGTTCACTATGTCGGTAGTGAGGTCAATCATTTCAAATAAATCTAAGATAACAGAGACAAATTTCTATTTCTCTTTCTGATCAACTGACATAAAAGAGACGGATTGTCATCACTGAATTTTAAAAAATATGAAACTAATGATCAAAATACTGGAATTACCAATCAAGAAAGAAATTTTATTCCTTCCATAAACATGATTTGGCATTTACAGCCGCTGAAAATATAATTCCGGTGCGTGAAAAAAACTGTCAGCTGATAAGAAACACTCTGTTACCTCACGTACGTACGCAGTTTGGCATCTTTTAGTAGAAAAAAAAAAACGGGTAATGATGAAATTACCAGGATATTCTCTGGGGGCCCTCCTGATCTGTCCAGTAAAAGCTCTTGGTGACAAAAATATAAAACTGGAGGAAGTTTATGACAGCAGTTGTGATCAACTCCAGGACTAACTGCCAGGGCTTTGGTTCAGTCATATTCAGTCGCAATAGAATGTAAGGAATGACGAAATAACGTGGCTCGAGCAGTAGTTGAGGGACGAGAATAATACCGATACTCACGAGATAGAGAATCTTCGAGAGGTATTTCAAATCTTGCAGACAAGCCAATAACCCATAAATCGAGAAACCATAAAATGGTACAAGGAGATACTTCGCCAGGTAATAGCGCCCCATTATCTTGTTCCAGACATAGAAAACGTAGTGTCTATTGTCAGCTAGTAAATAAGGATGCACCAGTGTATTATTATGCACAATAGTCGTGAATAGTGCTAATGATAAACTCGTAAGGACCCAATGTTTACGGATAAACTGGAGGAATGATCTCCAGTGAGGTAGGACGTAGGGCCAGGCAAAGATGGCAAAGAAAATAGAGAAATAAAAGAGCTGAGGCACGTGAATCGTTGCAACGTGGGCATTACGATCTCCTAGAACAATTCCTCGGTTCACCATTACGAAGATTAAGAATGTTACGAGCACTGTTATGTGGCCACGAACGTTGAAGCACATTTCGCCGATGAATTTTAAAAAGGCAACCTTTCCACGTCTTATGTGGTGCACTACGTTGTTCCACAGGAGCTGCAAGTGGAAATCAAAATGAATTTTATTTATTGATTGGGATTTGACCATAAAAATTTGTAATTTCAGGATAATATTTCGGAGGAATTCAGACATAATTGGCATTGTGACTAATAGAATTAATTATCAAGAGAGAAGATGGAGAGGGAAAGATCCCATTTTACTTCGATTTCTTTACGTATGATTAATTATTATTTCCTTTAATTTTATTTTCCCAGTTCCGAGGAATCCTTGAAAGTGAATATTTCTAGAACTTGAAGTTGGAATTAAATTTGAAATTTTCTTCATAAATTCTTTTAGTAAAGAGTGATGATAAGATAAAGGAGTATTTTTTCCTTGAATCGCTTGAAGAATAAAACAGTGAAGATTTCCTGGAAATATTCAATTACTTTTGCGTGCATTGGAGTGGTGTGAAGTCCTCGATTCATCAGTGTCTCGATACTTCGTGGTGTTTGGGCTTCAATCAGCATTAAAACCCGCTCACCGGCTAATAAAATTACCCAGATTATGTTCGTCTGTCTCACGAACACTGAAAGGCCACCTGGAAAACAGAACATGTATTTTACTGATCGTTTCGCTCCATGGATGTAATTACGTTTTATTGTTTCCGTTGTTTAAGAGGATTAGACTCACCGACATAAGCCGAGACTCTGTAATGCTCTCTCTGATGTAAGAGAAACGTCAGGAGTACCAGGTTAATCGATAATACATCAGTATAATACAAGAAAAACCAGAAGAACAGAGGAGGAAATATTGTCACTGTGAAGGCAACCCCGAACTTTTTCAATGCATTTTCCTCCCTCTGAGCCCATTTTTTTGTACTCAATATTTTCGTCGTCAGATACAAATTGGAGAATGTCAGAATTAAATTTATTGATCGGAGAAATAATATTGTGCACTGTTTTATTGGGCCTAAGAGGACAGCTGAGAGAACGTAGAGGCCTGGTAGAGTTGTTATTTTCTTATCCCACTGAAAAATTCATGGATTAGTTATTTTCCCGTTGTCACTTCCTTTTTATGATCATCCATAATCATGATGATTTGGTTACTAAATTAGATTCATAATAAACCATTTAATAAATAATCAAAATTACCATTAAAAGAACCATATCAAGCAATATTCATATATGATTATGATGAATATTAAATATCATAATCTTCAATTGAAATAAACAAAAAAAAGGTATTGCAAACAAAATTCCAAATAAATTTCCACTTAAATACGGTAAGGTTTTAGGTGAATTTTTGCAACTCTCATTGTTTTGTTCAAGTCGTAATTTTATATCGGATTGTTATCAATAGTTAATTACGATAATTACCTCAAATAATGTCCCATTACAGTACTTTTGCACTTGGGGTATGTGAAATGCCTCGTCGATGTAATAACTCGGCTGCACTCGATTCAAATAAATAAATAAACACGACGATAAAGCAACAAATAACACAACTGCCGACCGCCGAATAACCACAGATGCCAGCAGATGAAAATTTGAATTTTCTACGGAACCCATTTTTATACGATAATAAAAAACTAGTGATGATTAATATTTATTATCCAGATGTTATTTCCGGCTTGTATCAATACAGAAATAATATCGATTGTTGTAATTTCTGAAACGTTTCATAGACAACTGACGCGTAAACATAACCAATAAAATATGACCAGGGAATGATTAAAAGCTTTTGATAAATGGAAGTCGAATTTTTCTGACTGAAAAATGGTTCGTTGGTGTGTCGTTATGTCATCAGAGTTATTAAAAAACTTATGCAATCTTGAGAATTCTGGGATAATGAGATAATCGGGTTATTTTTGTTGATAATGATATTGACAACAACACTGTGCCTTAGACTTTTTACTGTTGATATCAAAGAGGATTGACTAAAGTACAGGCTCAGTTCTGGGGGTTTGAGTGACCCCACCGGTATCGTAGTACCTCACCCCAAGAGATAGATGGCATCACATGCAAACCGGGGGTGTTTGCCCGTCAGCCGACTCGCTAACTAATTTTCGAGTAATTTTATGGAGTCACTTAAATTTTTTGCCCCCATGTGACCCTTAACCAAGTCCAATTAACCCTTAATCAAATCCAATCAACCCTTAACCAAATCCAATTTCGACCCCATGGGAAAGAGGGCGAGGCTGAAGGGCCGATATTAAAATATGATACATTTAACTACGATTTAACCGCGGTTAACTCATCGAAAAACTAGCCCCAATGTACCACAAGGATCTACCAAAAAAAATAGGATAAAAAATAGAGTAACTCCCCAATTCTTCTATCTAGTTATAAGACTCCTTGAAATTACGTAAGTTTTACTAGTCGGGGAAAACACAAGCGGCAGTTCTTTATTTTTTTTCGGAGAAAATGATAAATTTTACTCTTTTTCTCCCACCTGTTCGTAGAAATTCTGATAAAAAATATTCAAATATTTCAACAGCATCCGTGACTAGTCATGTAATTTTTTCTCTTCTATGCTTCGTTGAAAAAAGTGACATAATCGTCACGAAAAATTTACGAGAAATCGAGGAATTTTTACGTGATTTAACATATTTTAAATTTTAATTTCTGTCAGCTTTACTGATCGAGGCAAGCAGAAGTGCCAGTTCCGTATTTTTTTCGGAGAAAATGATAAATTTTACTCCTTGTCTCCCACTTGTTCGTAGAACTTTAGATAAAAATTATTTAAATAATTTTACAGCCCACGATTACGTGACTAATCATGCAATTTTTCTGATATTTTCCTCCCTGTGCAGTACATAAAAACCACAATAATTGTTGACTCGACAGTGGAAAACATTATTACAGTTTCACCATGGCTCCAAAATTCATAATAATATTATTAACAACTATGGCAATTCTTCCCGGTAAGAACTGAATAATAATTATCGTAATAAGATTCTCTCATTCTGGATGTCAAATATCTTGTCGATCTTGTCTATTCCCTCAAATTGAATTCTCATTGGCTACTCCTGCTAGCCAAATGAGAAATTGCTATCTATACAGATGCAATTTTGTTTATGTGACAGCACAAATAATGGTAAATATTTATTAAAATAATTAATTCATGGGATGAAAACTGAAAAATTTAGACCACAATATGAACATCCCCATTAATTTCACTGATTATGTCTGCAATCGTTTCCAAATAATCGAATTGCATTTAAAATAACCTGTATTAAATTTGTTCTATCGCGTAAAATTCACCAGGACTAGCATGTCAATAATAATAACAAATTATTTATAGAGATCAAGAGCAATCACTGGGGTACATGCTTGGCTGAACCGGAAGCATTTCCTTTTATTGCAATTATCAACATCCCTGAGGAAAGCTTCAGCATTGGGGCCCTGGTCACTGCCAATAAAGTTTTAGGACCTGAGGCGGCTTTTCCCCCCCAAGCCACCGATATGACCGTCGATTTGGGATGCATAGAAGTAGAAAGTTGCGCCGCTCGACACATCCCAGTTTCTCATTATCTTAGGAATCATTCATTCAGGACTATGATATATGTGGTAAGCCACTGAAGCATCCGTAATAATAAATAAGAGCAATTAGGTGATATGCATACGCACTGGAATTTTTCCCCTCGATTATGAACATATGGAAATCATATTGACCAATGAAAAATTGACCTTGTAGGAAAACGACAATGTGCCTCCTTCCCAGACATGCTTATACTCACAAATACTTTTTCTACTGACAAGTAGATTTTTTTACGGCGAACATAAAATCTGAGCAATAAGTTTGATAAAATATTTTTAAGATGGTGAGCTCCATAGTTCTTCCCTTTACTTCTTTTTCAGCTAGGGACACCCGTCGTGTTGACTTCTGCGATTTTTCCAATTCCAATACGTCCCTCAGAAAGCGATGATGAACTATGGTGCAAATTTCTGGGATTTGATATACACAATTACCAGGAGCTATACTGGATAAATACGAAGATTATGGATCGAGCATCTTGCCTAGTCATGAGAGGACGGATTCCTAGAAACCACGCATGTTTTTTTGATGTAAACGAAAATACAGTATACGAAAGCGTAAGCATGAATATAACCCAAGGGTCTATTAATCCAAATAATTGACTTCCACTAATTCAGTTGACTTTTCTGAATAAATTTGTTGTTTTTTCTCACTGCAGGAAAACATTGGCGGGCCAATGATTTGCGATAGATTTCTGTTTGGATTGATGTCTGTGTATCCTGCGGTCGATACAGCCGAACCGGTGCAGCTCGTCAGTAACTTAACTGGCTTTCGTCTTCCCAATGAAGAAACCGGGGGTTTTCAACCAATGCCACGTTCTCATTAACTTTTCAAACTTCTATCTTCGTAAATATTTGGGTAAATATGAAAATCTTCGAGAAACGCGACAAATTAAAAAATTTTTAATTTCAAATTTTTTTTTTATAAATTCAAAAAATTTTATCACAAGATAAAAAATAAAAAGCAAATCCTAAAGGGCGCCATATCCCTTGAAGAATCGGAAGAACTGTCCCACTTGTCCTTGAGCACTTTAGTATGTCATATAACTGGAATAATCATTTCAAACTGAAGACTTGTAATGATTGGGCTGAACCGTTTTGTTATTATTCGAATATGTCAAGCGAAATCGATGTATGACAAAGTATCTGAAGCATATAAATATTCCATCTACAAACTTATCCAAACAAGACTGGTGTTGTTCCCAATGATAACTGAAACAATAATCTTTCCAAGAAAAATCACTCTTATTCTTACGGCTGGACAGAGAAAAAAGTCCACTAAAAATTATCCTAAAATATAATTAAAACTTATGAACAGTTACCTAAAAATTCTTGAACATAATGATTCGTGAAATCCCTGTTGGATTTTTCAGCTTCCAAAAAAATCACGGAATATTTTCGGTTTCTTTCGGTGACAGAAAATTCACCGAAATGAAAATCCGATTCTGAATCGGAGCTCTCAGCCCTGAAGATGCAGACATCAATATTTGCGAGAGGACGGCGAAATGCTGAAAGAAAACGCGACATCCATCTGGAAGCCAATTATAATAATATAATCGTAATTATCCATTTATAATACAATTATAAACAATAAATAAAGAATTATAATAGTGATCATGGCCGCAAGAGCCTCAAAACTCAATGATAATAATAATAATAGTTGGGGCAATATTCAACATGGGAGATGGGAAAATGTTGCTCCAGATTTGTCCCGCAGATCTAGATCACATTCCAGCAAGATCTCTAAAATAAAAATCAGAGTTGACCCTGGAAGGTCTCGCATCGGCTCGATGATCTAGGAAGTGCAAAATATCCATAAATTGCCACAGAAGGCGAGAAAGAATTCCTCTCATTAACGGTCAAGTGCCTTCTTCATTAGTAATCATCCACAGGTTATTTAATGTTCTCTCTCAACACCCGTCTGTTGAATTTTTTTCGCACTGAGGCACCCGGTATTCAATTCATCACGGACTGTTGCATCATACCGTAATTGATCTCATGAATTTTAATAAATAATTTCACTATTAAAAAATTTACGTACGTAGATGACCACAACAACTGACCCAAGAAAGGAAATCTTATAGAATAAATTTGGGAAAAAATGACCGTTCGCTGTGTAAGAAGTATATTTCTAAAGGGTTTGATGGTATATTTTTAAAACACTCCACTTCAAGTAAATTATCCTTTACTTAATATTAAAATTCTGATAAAAGTAACTTAATGTTGATTAACAAATATATATATAACGATAAACGCAAACAGAATAATATTAGTCTCAGTTAATATTGGAAAAAAGTAGCTGGATGTGCTCTCGCCCGGGTTGCTAGGCGAACTGACTTCATCTCCACTTCCTAGTGGAGAAAAACTCCAACGCATCATTCGACATTCGGCATTTGTTTATTAAACAATAGCAGGCATCGTCGCCCAAGTCCAAATTGGTTCTTAGAAGGTTTATACTAAGGCGCCGGTGGTCTCCACACAGCACGGTCTTTGTCCTAAGCCCCATGAGTGTCTAATATCACTTCGAATATTTTTCCCCACAGCTGTATATTTACATTATTTTTACATCATGTGGATTAAAAAATTATTATCTGTCGTTGGATCGTTTACCTGAAGAGATAAAAAATAGAGTTGTAAACTAGACTAGGTCGTATTGGTGGTAAAATTTATTTGGAAAAAGAATCTCGTGTTACCATCGGTCATTTAATCCTCCATTGTATGGATTATTTATGAGCCTCATGATATGTCTCTCAACATTTCGGTTTCTTCCTTCATCGTACACCGGAGCCGGAAGACATCGAAAAATCGTTAAACTCCTAGTTTGTGGTCATAAAATTAATATCGAAAGGAAGAGACTGTAAACTGTAATCACCAGCCGTGGCTAATTTTAGAGATCTTGATGAGCTGTTACTAATCGTTGTAAATATTTATTACAATATGTTAATGTGTCCTGTAAAAATTACTACGTTAATACAATTCTTGGATTTTTCTGATAGAGGATCTTGTGTCCGTTGTTAGCGAAAATTACCGGTTTTCTGAGTTTTATGACAAATTGTTGATCGGATTCACCCAAAAAATGTACCGTTTTTGGATTAATAAAACTTAGAAATAACGCAGGATAATTATTGCACGATTAAATTAAATTTTGAAATTTTAAAACGCTATTTTTTTAATTAACAAGATGTCAGAAAGTTAAAAAACCGGTAATTATGGCTAGAAAGGATCAGAACGCTGAGAGAAGATAGAGAAATATTCAAGAAAAATTACCGAAAATTGAATTTGCATGAATTTTTATAAACATATATTTGATATATAAGAGAAAAATCTGGAACGTTCAATAAATTTTTTGGTGTGTCACCAAAAGAGTCCAAAAAACTTCCGTAATTTCCATTAAACTTTCCACTCCGTGCAATAACGCGAAATATTCAAGAAATTTCCAAGTGAATCACAACTTTTCGGAATTGATCATTTAACAAGTACAATTAACAGATAATTCCAAAAAAATAGATATTTGGGAGAGAAAAAAAAATGTTTTCGCTGTTCATGGGCCATGACAAGTGGCTCTAGACGTTGGCCAGCACGCGCCAACCAGTAACGGACAATTATATCGTTAATCTAGCTTTCGTGCATGCAAACAAACCACATAAACCCGGATAAGTAAAAAGACATGCGTATGAGCGTAAATTCCGCGGAATAAAAGCATGAGATTCGCGGAAAGGGGGTGAATAAAAAAAAGTTGTGTGTAGGGATTAAGCAATATGTATCCGTAAAAAAAATTATATTACTATGGAATGGGTCTGATCATGGTCTATCCTTTGGTTAACAGTAAATCCATGCCTCAGGAACCCAACGTCCATGACTGGGGGCGAGACGCGTCGATAGTTGCATTGAGTCTGTATATTACGAATTTTTTATGTTCGGAATAACATAACGGAGGTGATTTACATTGGCTCAGGCATATGGGGTCATTGATCCACCGTTTTTCCCATTTTTCTTTGCAAAATTTTTTGCACTATTTAGTTTATTTATAACGGCCCGTGGGAGTTATGGATTCCTAATGTGCGTGGAGTACGTGACGAATATGAAGAAATGCCAGTCGATGACGAGAGGATTACAATAGATTTTTTATTTTTTTTTATTTCTATTTTTCACGAAATTTGTTGCTACTTGCTGTAAGAACTTGAGGATTCATTTTATTTTTCCTTATTTTTATGTCTTGAACTATTTTTTATTCCCTTATAGGAGGGACTTGGGATCAATGGAAGACGAGAAAATTATTGTAAGAATCCATTACTCAACATTTTAGTTTTCCAGAATTTTATTACACTTAACTGTAAAAAAAAAAATTAATTACCCTATACGGAATTGCAAGACCAGAAGGGAAGAATATAAGAAAACAGGATAATTAAGATAAAAAATTAAATTCACAAAAAACACTGAGAGAATGAGGTAAACACACTTTTCCGCACGTCTCTATTTCCAAGCTCTTGCTTATTTTTTTCTTCCCGTTAAATTCTTCTGTTGATTCATTCAGAAATATTGATAATCAATCAGAATTGTTTCCATAAAAATAATCCCATCCACCTTTATTTATTAAAATTCCTAACAATCTCCCATTTGTTTCCAACGTTTGTTTTCTTTGAAAATGGAAATCAGTTCCAGAGTTCAAGTCTCCTGTTCTCGAAGGCTGAGCAAATTCTTTAAATTTTCATCTGAACATGAGAATTCCTGATGCTCTAAAAAATCAAGATTCAAAACCCTCCCTTCAAAATTACAAGTCAATTGTCCATGAAATTTCAATTTTTTTTTTTGAAGTTTAACATTTCCCGACGATAAAAAAAATGATTGATAGCCAGACGCCCCTAAAACACCTGCATTTGCGTTGCGCATCAATATCCCGTTCCCCTCCATTTCCCAAATCTTCATTAATTCCGAAAAATCTCCGAAAGACGTATAATTGAGTCAACGGTTGAACGATCGACGCAATAATCCCTCGAATCCACCGAGCGAATCAGTGACGAGGTCCCGGTTCGCATGGCACCATTAATTTAGTAAGATACCGATTTAGCGATCCGCAAACTCGTTTTTTTTACTGAAAAAAAATTATTCTCTTTCACAGGCAAATTCGAATAACGCGTTTGCCGAATGACATTGACCCAGAATAAAAAATTTGAGATAAAATTGGTGTTGAAGAGTCAGTAACCGCTTAACTGATTCGCGCATTTTTTTAAATGTATTTTTATTACGCCGTTGGTTCGCTTTTTTTCTTATATCTGAATCGCAATTTAACGTTTCTCCGCACTGTGATTTCTGCACTTGTAGCCCTTGGACCGTAATGCCGTGAATTTTATGCATGGGCCTATTCCTTTTGTACTTTATGCATCACAGGTGTACAATCTTAATGAGAAAATCAAAACAAACATTTCAAATGCAGAATTTTTATGAAATTGCACGGCATTCCTCTAGTCTCCTTTTCAATTTCATTTTTATGAAATTTTTTTAAAATACCACTGGAGAATTCCACGCTTTTATTAGTTCCTCTTGAAACGACGGATTACGGGAAAAATTATGTAACGCATTTTTTTTTTGGACAAATATTTAATCATTTCATGAATTATTTCATGATCTATGAAATATTTTATTATTCAATCGTTTTGGAATCGTTTTCGTATACTTTTCGCTTGTATGTAAAGCAATTTTACATGTGTACATAATTTTTTTAAATGTATAATAAATATTGCACTCTCAGCAGTGGCCGCACTGCAAAATATCGGTATTATCTGTCCGGAAAAAAGTATTGAAGAACAGATTTATGATAAACACTGGCACATAATAATATAATAATTTTATCAGCCGTTTTAAATAAATTTGTAAAGGAAAAATTGAAAAATGTAAAGATATCGGTAATAACTCGGTAAAACGATTTAGTTGCAGTTTTATTTGAAATTATAATGGGGTACGACAATGTTACCGGTTTTTCTACAAAAATATGTATTATCAACCGTTTATTTTTCCAACAATATACAATGATTCCTCTCGGCTATTATTATTGGTGAAATGCCGGAATTGTACCGGTTTTTTGACCTTCTGTTTAGACTTCCTCCGCCCAGAATGTTCCCGTTTGTTTCGCAATTCCAAAACCTGGTGACAGAGTTTTGAAATGAAAATGTCTTCAGCGAGGAATCACATCTGGAGATGGGACAAATGCGTACGATAGCCAGAAGAATGGTTGTTAACCGAAGCACTGGGCATGCATTAACAGTACTCACCGGATGGTTTTCCTCCGGTTCTCTTCCCTCCACCAGGAACACCTCAGGCCCCAGAGGGATTCGACTTGTCTTCACGGTGTTTGTCGTTACCATCAGTCCATCGCGAGCCTTCCTCAAAATTACATCATTATTCTCATTGATCGAGTCATCGAAAGCCGGTGGATGATTTTTGCAATTTTATTTTTCAATTTGAACAAAATTCCAAATATACTCCATACAAATCATTCAGGAACATGTGGCGGTTGCTCCTTGCTGGATTCTGCACGGTTTGTGATGTTTCATTAGTGCTGCAAAATAATTGAGATTGTTCAGTGAAAATCAGTGGCCAATTCTATCATTAATTTTACTCGAATATCACTTTCAATCCGAAAGATCATGATCTTCCCTAGAATCATATAAAAATCGATTTCAAAAATAGAAGCGGTAATCCGAAATATATTTCCATAACTGAAGGAGATATCAAAATTTCTATAATAACCTTTTTTGTAGCTCTCAATGAGTTCTACAAAAAATATTCTTACAATATTTTCGCTATCTACCTTAGATCTCGAGATTTCAATTGAAAATAGTGAAAATCGGTTCGAATCGGTTTACCGCTTCCCTCGGGAATTCCCCAACAACGATTTTTTGAGGGAGAAGTGGCCGTGTCATTGGGAAATAAATAACCTCCAGCTGATCCTTTGTTCATGTCACCTAAAATCCTTGATACGTCTGATTAGATATTAGGGACACTAGCGCAGGACTATGAGGTATCGAATATCCAATGCAGCGCATCAACAGCGATCACCGATCTTCTGACAGCGAAAATAAAACGCCCGATCGGGTTCAAAGGCTCGCCTTTATTCGCGGATGACAGAGCAGCCGATCCATTGACCGATATTCATTGTCAAATACGTCCGGAGCCATCAGATCCTCAAGAGGACCATTATTTCCTCAAAGTTACCGATTTCGCGCGCTGCGGAGTTCTCAAAAGAAACGTAAAACTCTTTCTTCATCTTCTTGAAGTCAAATATTTCGTCTAATGATTAAAACTAATTTGAATGGACAATTATTACCGGTATTGTATGATCGCTCGATTACAGGGATTTATTCACCTGAGGATATGGTTCCCAGCGTTTCCTGGAGTCGTGATGCTTGCTGATCAGGAATTGATCCTCATGTGCAGACCTCCAGAGCCCACTTTGTTAAGGCACAAAGCTGCTGGTTTCGCTGGAACTTTGTAAGTCATTATTGCATTACAAAATCGGTTGTCATTTTTCTGTCATAATTCTCAAATTAATTGAACTTCTGTGACATTCTTCATAATAAGCCGCCATTAAAATTGAAAGCTTGTTATTACCTGTGTATTATCAGTATTCCTGATAAAATTCCGCAAATTTTGAACCCAAAGAGAATTTTCTTAATTGAAAATTCGCTAAATTATTAAAATTTTAAGTTAAGAACTTAAAAAACAATGTCTTTAGAAAATTGAATTCGCTTTGAATTGAAGCCACATAAATTGACTCAGCAATTTAAGGCTCGGGTGGATTATCTAGAACAGATAATTTACTCCGAAATTCGGATTTCTAATTACTTTGGCAATTGATCGTTTTTTAAAATAATTGTTAGCTAGCGTTCTAGCGGTTGTCAACAACTAGGCCGCTAGCTAACAATTATCGGAAAAAACGATTAATTGACGGAGTAATTAGAAGTCCCAATTTTGGAGTAAATTATCTTTTCCAGACAGTCCATCCGGGCCTTAAATTGACCCTGGGTATCATGATGATGTATTAAATGGAGTCTTAATTTTTTTATATTCAGAATAAGACCCTTTTTTAATAACAATGGAGGGAATGATCAATGAGGAAACTTTTCCTGAAGTTAAATTTCAAGAGTTTCTGACTGAATCGGTAAATTACTTGATGGGTAAATATAATTATAAGGCAATATACAATGAGCACAAATTATTCAAGCGAAACTGACGAATTCATCAATTTTTCACATCGTAAACAGAAGATGAGTACAAAAAACCAATTATCCCACGATAATTTATGGACGAAAATTATTCAGACCCCTTCCCAGATAAAATCATCCTGAAATAATGAAATTGCCTCTCATTAATAATAAACACCATAGAAAGAACTCATTCAATCTGCACCGCTCCTCAACCAAGACACTTTTTTTCAAAGTCGAAAAGATCAATTTCTAATTGAGATAATGAGGTTTAAAGATTTTCTACGCCTATATATAGTCGAAATTCAAGTTTTTAAAGCAGAAAAATGATAATTAAGTAATTATCGACGTGCGGTGGCCGTGCGATTAGAGCGTAGGGAGTTGGCACATGAGATTCGTGGGTTGGCACAATTCGATTCCCAGTCGGGGAAATGCCAGGGGTTTTTTAGAGATAGAATTCGCTCTAACTTGCACAGGTTTCATCATACGAGCGCTAGTCTCGAAAAAGACGACTGTACCTGACCAAGGTTTTTTCCCATGAGGTTTTCCCTTCGGCCCTCGGCGTAATTGCGATACAGAGGGAACTGGGGATGGGAAATGTAAAAGCCCGAAAGGGTATATATGGGTGGACAAGTTTGGTTTTAATGTTCCGCCGAAAGTGAATTATACTTGAGAAGAATCCTTTTAGTTGATAATTAATTAATTAATCGATAAAACGATAATTTTGGCTGCATATGGGTGTAGAACGTTAAGTTATCCTGTTCGAGGCGTGAAGAGTTCTAGTTTCATTTGAAAAATAATAAAAAGAGATAATTCTAATCGAAATCATGAAGAGACCGAAACAGGAAGCGCGCACAAGAAACCTTTTCTATTCTATGGAAGACCTCATATTTCCGTACAATTAAATGTAACTCGTGGACTTCATGCAAAAGACCAATTGAATCGAGATTTTCGCATGATAATAATTCGTTGCTTGGAGCAGTAAAGTGATAATCTTTGAAGGTTTAATCATTATTGCAGTCCCCACGGCGCTCGTGTCTCAGGAGTAGTTGAAGAAACCCCAGGTAGACTCGAGTACGAAGTTGCATTGTACAGAGAGGCAACCGGAAATAGCACAGAGAATGCCCTAGGATCGGAGGCTGTGGACCAAGCTGTTCCCATTGGCACGAAGCTGCAATTACGTGCGCGAATAAGTCCCGAGAGTGCTTGGGGGTACATTAAACTGCTTGAAGTCACTGTTAGTCCTGATCCTGACCAGCCACATGCACCTGGAAGTGTTGTACTCGTTAAGGAGGGCTGTAGAAACCGAGATTTTGCCTCGATTATTCCACACCAACCCGCGAGGTATCGAGAGAGAAAAAATGAAGTTTTTCTTGACTTCGAGGCTTTTTTACTGAGTTCCATGAGGGAGAGGTCAACGCTCTGGATCCATTCCCAGATCAAAGCCTGCATGGAACCGCATGACTGCCAGCCAGTGAGTTCCTCGGTTGTTTATTTTTTTTAAATAAAAAAAACGTGTTAATCTGTATCCTGGGAGGGTAGAGGGAGAGTAATTTCTATTGCAAATTAAAGAACTTCAGTTGGATCAATCGAACAGTGGAACATTTTCGTGAATTTATCTCTGTGTTTCTCTGGGGATTTAGGACTTCTGTCTGGATCTGTTTGAACCTTCTGGTCATGGTAGGAGGAGAAGAGCTGCTGGGATCATCGAGGAGACCAACGAAAATGGAATACCGAAGGTGGAGAGCTCCTTGAAGACGTACAATGATACGACGCAATTCACGAAGATCAAAGAGAATATTGAGTACACCGTGATGATGCCAGGTGGTAAGTTCTCACGTCATCAAGAGCATTTCCTGTAACTAAAAATGTTTTCTGTATACGTAATTCTTAACAGCGGGGCGAAGTCGCTAATCGAGATGAAACGAATTTTATTCTTCTTAAGGATGTTCGACGCTTGTTTAGCCGAAATTCACCTTTTTTTCTCAGTTTTCTGGTAAATTATTTATGGGATTAACATGAAAAAATTATTTTTAATGACTTACGAACTTTCGTGGTGGTGGTTTAATTTTCATACGTTTTTTCCTACGGTTTTGTGATTTTTTTCAACAATTTAGAGAAAACAGAAAAATTCCGTGAGTCATGCATTACAAAATGCAAAAACTTAGTTTTTTCATATCAATTCCATAAATAATTTGCTAGAAAAATGAATAAAAAACGTGAATTTCAACGGAAAAAACGTAAAACATCCTTAAACATCGATTAATCTTAAAAACTTGTGACTTTATAACAAAATACCAAAATACCTTTTTAATCTAAAATTTAATCAGCTACAAAAAACTTCTTTAGCGTTTTCACCTTAAATCGCCAGTTTTCGAAATAATTCGAAAATTAATAAAAATATTGATTTCGATTCACGTCAAGAGTTTAATACTCAAATAAAAATCGTTTTATCGCTCCAGATCTCTACGATAAAGTGGCAATGGGTTTCGAGGGCAGTTGTGGAAATTTTCTGTACATTGCCACTGGCCTTGGAATACTTCTCGTGGTCTCAGCCTTTATCATGTGTTATCTGGCCACACGTCTCCATAGTCTGGCATCAAGTGTTCCCCAAAATAAAACAATCGATGATCTGGTGAGAGACAGGGCGAGGAAATACTGTGAACCAGCACCTGGATACACAGGTCGATCAACGGTGCAATAATCCTCGGTATTTAATCCCTAGAGAATATTCCTTCTTCCCCTGAAGAGCAGTCGGGCAAAAAGGTGTTTTTTTTTTTCAAATTGCCCAATGGAGTAAAATTTTTCCCACTTCCTTCTGCTTCATTTCCCATCGTTCACAAGTCAGAGTAGGATTAATTTTTATCACCAAATGATTTTATTTCCACATCTCAATGAGAGCAATGCTATGACGCGACCTGAAGGGGATTACTGAGCGATAAATTCGTTCTTTCGTTCATTATTTATACTTTCCTTCATTCCAGAAAGCTAAGGAAACTCTAAAATTAGGATGGGGCTGGTTGAAGGTCAATATCTTACTTTGTAAATATCACTTTTCGTATTTATTGTTTGCACACGAACAGAAAAAATGGAAATTCGCGGACATTCCTATAAAATCGTTTTATCGAGACAAAAGTGGCTCTACCCTTGCAATAAATTAGAAGATTATTAAAAGCTGCGAAGAAATTCAAGGTCGATTACATTTGGAATTGTATTTTTTTGTATTAACCGCCGGTTCGTAGATAAATTAATAATTTATTTATAGGAAAAAGAAGTTTAAAGAACTATTAATAGTTGGAAAATTTAGTTTGCATCAGACTGGGGATTCTCTCCAATTTCTATCGTACAATTTAGTTGGAAAATTCACAGGCTAAGGATAGAGCGACTTTGAGAGGATAATTGCACGTTTTGATGATTTTCCTGTGGTGTGCAATCAGGAAATTTTATCGACGGTTTTCACGGTCAAGCATTCGTGTCTGGAGGCCATTAAGATACTCTAGAATGTTTCACGCACGTGAGAATTGTCGAAGGTTGATTATATTAAATGTAAGTGACAGTGTAATGTACCAAATAGAAGTATTACTTAATCTCTACAATACGAAACTCGTTGAACTTTCGCAGAATCGTACAAAGAGTTCAAGTGCACAGTTAAAATTTTTATTTCACATAATCAATATTGATTTCCCAAGTATTTAATGAATAATTTATTATTTATTGACCAATTCAGTAGAACAGTATTGAGTAAAGTTGTGACTAATAAAACGCTTTGTTTTCTTTGGTACTTGTTAATCTCATAAAAATGAATTTTCACAGATTTGAAAAGAATATCTCTCAAGTTTGTCCATTGAATTTATTCATTAATTTATGTAATACAATTATTAAGTCTTGTTTGGGTCAATTTTTATTTGATTACTCGAAAGAAACGTTGCAGATCGAATTTCATTGTCAATAAATAAGGAAAAAAAATTTCCTAGTAATCTCTCAGGCGACACAAGGTATTTAGAATGAATTTTGAGATGATTACTCCTGTCTATGAGATTAAAATAAAATAAAGTGAGAATTTTACAAAAATGCCTTATATGCACTCTGGTGTCCCCTTTTTTTTCGAGTTGACGTAGGCTTCGTAAACTGCCAACTCTTTTTTCTCCTTCTTTAAATTTCTATCCTCGAATTCCAACCTGCAATTCAAACGCTGAATAAACACGTAATATCACTGGATTTTTTTAGTCTACATTGGATAAACGAGACAACGGTTATACATCAAAGAATAATGATGGATCGTAAAAAATTCAAATTGAAGATGTTAATTAGTCTATAAAAATTTTTTATTCCATTGCATGCTCTATAAAGTATCATCTCCAACTGTGGCAATTGAAATAGAAAAAGAAAATGACAAAAAAATGTATATTTGATGGTGTGATTGATAAATTAGTCATTAAACACAAAAATGAAGAGAATAATGTGCTATTTATTCCGAACATAGAAAGAAGTCTCTCGAGCAAATAAAAAAAAACGGTATTACAAAAAAAAAATGATCGGATGCATTATCGGATGGTCAAGCTCTTAATTATTGCATAAAGCTCCTCAGACCTAAGGAGAGGTAATGAAAAAATGATGCATACAATTTGCATGATTTTTAAACGTTTTTAAATAAATAAATAAGTGTTGTGGCTCCAAAAAACAACGGCGAAATAATAAATAAAGAATAATAAGTGCACAAAGTGTTTCGCATGTTAACAATTACATTATTTTTGTGGACCCAACGACACTCCAGAGATGCAAAAAAAACCGAATTGAGGTATTTATGGACAATTTATAAATAGATTAAACTCTTTTGCATCTCTCAATTTAAGAATCAGCCATTTGACTGTCCTACCTGTGCAAAATGATCCTCTCCACGATTTTTTCAGTGGTCATGTCGTTACCACTGTCAAGTATTTTGAATTTATGCTGTCGTTTAGGCTCGGCATAGGGATCAGCACCATCTTCACAGGTGGGTATTGGTGTTTGTCCATGACAGACGATCGATACGTTAAAATGTTCCATCAGATCTTTGGTTACTTCGTATGGAGCTCCAATAACTACTTCATTAACGTACTAAACAGAAGAAAAACTATTTAAGAATATCTCCGTAGAATAATAATCAGTATATCAATAAGCAGAATAAAATAAATATTTATCACCTTGCAGGCAAGTACACTGAGTACTCTCTCATGCAAATTCATAATAGGGTAATTTCCGTATTTGTATCTATTGACAGCGGGATCGGTGTGTAGGCCAACAATTAAATAATCCCCCTCTTTCTTGGCAACCTCCAGGAAGTCCAAGTGCCCCACGTGAAAAAGATCGAAAGCTCCAGCCACGTAGATGATTCTGTCGCCAGGCTGGGGGCTCTTACCGTCGCTGAATTGAATAATCTTCTGGGTCGTTGGAAGAAACTGCGAACATCCCGTCCACGGAGATCTCGCTGTTTTATCCTGTCCCATGCTTTTACTTGGTTCTCTGTCCACACTATATTCACTCTCTCCTCGCCTGAAGTGCTGACGAGTCATCAAAAGCATTCGCCCCACCAAATCCGTCGTAGAAACACCCGCCGTTCTCTGAACTTCCCTAGAATTTTATCAATTTTTATATAATCAGTTGAACAAATCCAATTTCAAATTATCCCTGCACATCGATTTACCGTGAATAATTCATAAATGCTTAAATTTTCGCGTTTTTAAACTTTTTATTGCACCAGAATTTAGATAAAAAAAATTTCCTTGACTCTGGGATCAAGTGATATCTAATATTTATGCAGAAGATGATTTTTTACAATGGGAAGGAATTAAATGACTTCTCTCACTGGTAATTTGAATAATTTCATTAGTTATTTCAATTCACCTGTATCTCCCAGCTTCCTTGACCAGGTGATACGTATCGACCCCATCAGCAGTTCTCGTGATGTCATCCCCATGCACACAAAAATCACAATTGTACTTGTCCAGTGTCTCCAAGGTAGTGACGTAGGGAGCCCCTTCCACCACCTCGTCCACCCATTTTATTCCCCTCACCATTTTGTACCTGTTTCAAACACCAAAATCATTGGAATATTGAATCCATCGACAACAACAAATACAACCGCAGCACTTTGTCCTTAACGTTATGCAATTCCCCAGTGTGAAATTGATACACGCTACCACGTGGGACTGATAATTAAAGAAAAGCCGATCACCACAACCGCTCCTATATTTCCACAGCTTTTTATCTTTCTGTAATACTCATTCGTTCCCTGCCTTAAGAAAAAACGAAGCTACACAATTGTATTTTTACCAACAAATATTATTACTGTCGCTATGCAGCTATTCGTTTCCGAACGATTTTTCTTTTTCGAATTTATCGTTTTTTTTCAACAGACTGAAATTATCACAAGCTATTAAATTCTGCTTGCTGTATGATCGTGTTCATGCATTCAAAGTGCTTATTAGGTGAAACGTTGAAATTAAATTATTCAATTCCGTCAGAATAATCCATTGAAACTCCATTTTGTGAAGCCTGAAGGGGACAGGAATACCGGAATTCGACAGGAAATGCCACAAAAATGTTAATTAATTGTAAATCTATGAAAATTCCCTTATTATGCAGGCACCAAAACATTGCGTCAGCGATCGATAGAATCAAATGACTAATTCACCCACGTCCTCGCCACTAAAAATTCCTTCCAACTGGCGATTCAAACAGACCAGCATATACTCCACATTATTGATTATCGTGGAGTCCCCCTGTGGGTGTTCACAGGTCTATAGTTAATAAGATAGACGCGGAAATGAGGGTCAAGGATCCAGGATTTCCTCACTCGATAGTACTATCATATGTGGGTATTTTCCACACGTCCCCTCAATCACCAATCAACTCCTTCCATTCACACAATTTACCTCTCCTCCTGGGTAAAAACTGGCGGTCCTTTATGCTTCGATATTTCCTCATCCGTGTGAACACCAACAACCAAATAATTACCCAAGGCCTTGGCTTGTCGTAGGGAATTGGCATGTCCAAAATGCACCATATCATAACTAAAACAAAAATCAGATCCTCATGATTACCTGCCCTACACCAAAAATTCCATCAAAATAATTTCACCCCTCCCAGGGTCATCACAAAATTCAGTGAACCCGATTAATCGCGATCCATTAATTTCTCCATTCATCAATTCACAGCTCTGAAATTTCTGACGTTTACCCAATTATCATTTATTCTGATGCTCTTTTAACCGATACCATGACATGTCAAAAAATCGCTCTTTATTTTTCCGGTGCAATGTTCCCGATTCGATCGATTGAATTCTCATTAACTGCCGGTGTAAATTTCTAGTTGCAGTACGTCAAACCCACGTGAATGTTTTTATTGTGAATAAATCGAATAATGAAGTGAAAATATGGATATGTGTCATTGAAACGTACCATCCGTCGCACCACACTCGCACCTCCTTTCGTTCTTCAGTCATAGTTGCAAGTTTAGGGCGTAATGAGTGATTAAAAATTACTGGATCTGTGTTGATGTGAGTTGGAGAAATTTCTGAGGGTTAGAAACAGCTCTTCCACTCTCGAGCTTCCACGACGCACTGACGCTCTACTGCGCACGCCAGACTTGTTAAATCTTCAAATGTCTTTTTTTTTTTAATTCCGGAACTCCCACCTGTTCCGCACCCATGATATCACGTATATGGAATTATATACATAAAATGGTATCAGAGGACGATATAAATAACTCAAATATTCATAATCAAAAAATGTAAGAAAGAATTCCGAGAGGCGCGTCGCATGATATGCCGATAGTACCGGATTGATTGTTTTTATTCATTATCGAAAATACTAGAAAATCATCGTGAATGAGTCATTAGAATTCGCCAGTAAGTGAATTATTCCGGAAATATTGCTTTACTGCATTTTTTTTATTTCATTCAGTGACAGGTTAATTATTTTACATTGGAAATTGACATTTTGCTATGATTTATTATCTTGATCCATTGATGTCCTTTGCCAATTAATGCTGGGAAGAGTAATGCAAATTTTTGTTAGTTTATAGCATGAGAATTTTACAAAATGTCTTTTGGATAGTGCTGATTATGTACTAGTGTTATCGAATTGCTCTCAAGTTTTTGTACGATATCTTGGAATCTGCGAGACTATCAGTGTTCTGATAAGAATCTTTTTTGTAGTTCTCATTATTTTCGATAGAAATTTCCTCAGGGAAATTTTTCCATCCCCTTCAGATCCCGAAATATCCTGCAAAAATAGATAATGAAAGTGTTCTACCTCTCGACACAATCTACTCTAGGAAATCAAATTCATGAAAATCATTGAACTACATTTTGAAGTGAATCCAGACACAACAATTCTCTAATCAATGGAATTGTTGTCTCGTAGAGTTGAGTGTTTAATCGTCAGGCACTCTGCCCATGTCATACGATTTAACTGATAAAAATCGCTCCAATGAGGCACTGAGTGGGTCTTCTCTCCCTCATGAAATGTCTCACGCGTTTCTACGTATAAATACTCGACTTCTTATCACGAAAATATGATTAATCAGAGCCAGGATGAACGAATTTATGGAAGAAATGACAGAGTAACATTGCAAATAAAATCATAGAATATCGAAATGTCCATTTGTTTTATTACGTACGTTTCAGATTAATTCTACACGTTCTAAGATTGTTTGTATTAATTCTTTCTAGTTAATATCCACTCACTCATCCTCACAATAGATCTAAACATTTCCTGCTCCATGACATTTTTTTGAAATTTATTAATTAATATAAGAGCGTCTTTCTGCCGCAGTAAATGAAAATGCGTACGTTTGTATGATATTAACTTTAAATTCTCAATTCAGTCACTCATGTGCACTTGAGATGTACGATGCACCTTAAACCATTTTGCTGTCTCTCGAGACAGCAAATATACAATTAAAAATATTCTCTCTCCATTAATTAGTACTATGCACTTTTGTGCTCTGTTATAATTTCTCTTTTCTTTTAGCGCTCCCTCCATCCATACCGTAGGTGTCAGGATTCGTTTTGCTTGGTGGATTATTCAGTTCGTCTGGCGCATTCACATCCTAGTGGGTCAATAACCATTTCGATTGTATGATCCAGTATTGCTGTAAGAATTTCCATTCTGATTGTAACTGTTGCTGCTAGGATTGCTGCCACTGAAATTGCTCTGGGAGAAGGGTTTACTGTAGTTGTTTCCACCCATTCCGCCAGGTCCTGCAATTTCAAAGAAAAGTTGAGTGCAATTTCATCATTAAGATCAGATTATTTTTCAAACTATTACTGAATAACTTACCATTATTACTTCCCCATTTTCCACCTCTGTCATTTCCTCCAGGACGATCATAACGTCCCCTGTCACCAGAGTCTCGTCCCCCACGAGATCCACCACCTCGTGGACCTCCTCCACGTCCACTATTGTTCCTGGGACCACTTCCATTACTTCTCCCCCCAAAACGTCCCCCTAAATACAAAATTCAAAATACAAATAACTACCAAAAGAATAAAATCAGATGACTCAATTTTTTCCTTTGTCTGAATTATCGATATTTCTCGAAAACAATGGAATCAAGAAAAAAACGTTCGGGAACTATTTTGTAGCTCATTAAATTCCCGACAAAAAAGGCCCCTAGGTATTTAATCGTAAAATTAATGGTTCTATCGATAAATTGATATTTTGTGGAAATCAACGATTGTCTCGTTTTAGAACTTCACTACGGATTATAAATATAAAAAAAAATTTGAACTCACTCTTGAAAACCCCCGGATTCCTCGACAATTCATAGAGCTTCGGATTGACCACCTGTTTGGCCTCCTCCAGCACTTGTATCAAATCATTGGCCTTATGTGCATTACCAGGTGTGAAAAAAGCATAAGCCGTTCCCGTTCGCTGTGAACGACCAGTACGTCCAATACGATGTACGTAGTCTTCCGAGTTGGATGGATAGTCCAGATTAATCACAAACTTGACATCCTCCACATCTAAGTCAAGATTATTACTCAAAAAATTGGAAAAAATGATGAAAAAATCATGAAAATAAATAAATCCTCCTTTGTGGTGACAATTAACTCATAAAGCAAATTTATTCAAGCACAATATTCTCAAAAAAAAACTCCCTAATCAGGCAAATGGACCAAACTAATTAGAAAAAAATCATCACTAGATCCAATCGTTCAGTAAAATACCAAATAAAATGTATTGCAAAATAAATATCATCCATTTGCATGATTATCATGTCAATCGAACCACAAAGGGAATGATCTAATTACCTGTTCAATCTCAAATGCTGAAAATAATTTTGTTCGAAATGTAGAGGAATCAGTGCTCAGATGGTTGTATTTGTCATTGCAGTCTCGCACAGAGAGATTGTACAAATAATCTCCTGAGTATTTTGTTTATAGCGAGAGCTCTCGAGTTTTCTAGATTGAAATTATTTCATGAACGTCACCACTCTTCTCTCCCGCACCAAAGTATGGATCACAAATTAACCATTAACCAGCAGTAACTTACACACTTGAGTCCATTCCGGTTGCACAGCTACCATTGAGTCCCATGGTACGAGGGCAGAGGGTAGATCTCACATTTCCCCCGTTGCACATGTTACCATTAACAAGACTTACATATATGTTTTTTTATTTACTTATTGCAATGCCATGAACTGACGAATTCTTGAAGACGAACCATTGCAACTCAATTGATAACATCTGCAATTACTTAGTCTCAATCATCGCCAACAATTTCATGAGCATTGCACATTCGGTTTCGTCGATCTGAACAAAAAAAAAAAGATGTGAAATAAAATAATCTGATCTGCGCTGCTCGGAGTGGAACTCCTCTCTAGCTCCTCCACGAACCTCCTGGTGTTTATTGACTTATTTTTTTTTTTTGCTTTCCCTAACATTACAACTTCCATACTTTGGACCGTCGCAGGTACATGAGAGTGTGGTGTGTTTTTCGTGGTCTTGTGGCACGGGTTCGACTGAGGCACAGCGTTTTATTTATTTTATTTGAGCGACAGCTTTTTTGAGGACAACTTGCAGTTGCGTCCCCATTATTTGGATATTTTTAATTCATTAAGAATTTTTTTTTAATTCCAAAGCAAGCTCTCCAGAGTTGTTATCATTGATAAAACTCCGTCGCATGTGCCTCTGAAAAAACATAGAACAGCAAGTTACTACCAGACTGACAAGACTTGTCTCATCAATTTTTGTTTAAAAACTCTCTTGGATTTTTTGGAAGAGAAACATCCTGGCTAGGTCTTACCTTTCCACCTGAAATTCACTAGAGGTTTTTCCAAACGACTTCCAAGGGATTTACAGCTTGTGTTTGAGTCATGAAGATGCTTTCTGCTGGGAGTTCAGCTGGAAAAACCTTTAGATATCCTAAGCTAGGGGTTTAATTCGATCATTATAACACAGGGAGTGTGGAATCATTCAGAGAGGACTTAGAACTAGATAAAGTTATTAGTTTCTCTCTCCGGGGTATCTTGATTCGGTAATTTAACGTTTTGGGAGCACCGGCGTCAATCAGTCTGGCACCATGCCGTCATCCGTTGCCACATTTTGGACACGATTATTCCGTCGATATTACGTTAATAACCATCGCAGCCTGACCCTTACATTGAATTATCTAGTTTGATGGGGGATTCTTACCTAACCCACGTGCAGCTACGTCTGTTGCCACTAGAATGGCAGATATGCTGCTTCGAAATTCTAGAAAAGATCAAGCAAGGCAAATTAATATTTTTACCCAAAGACATTTGTCAAATTATCTGGAAAATCAACGAGTTTTCTCAAATTTGCAGTGAAACTGAACAAAATTCCTAGACTCTCTATAAATCCAAAGAATTATTTCGAATTTTATATCAAATCGTAGATTTCAGAAAAATTATACTTCTACAGTTATTGCCAAAATTACTAGAACAAAAAATCCCATCCATAGTACCATGAAAATCCACCAAACTCACGATTAAGGACATAATCCCTCTCCTGCTGGCTTTTATCTCCATGAATGCCGATAGCCTGCCACCCATATCGATTGATAGCCCTGGTGATATCATCGACCTTCCTCTTGGTCTCGACAAAGATGATAGTCTTGTTCTCAGGCTCATTGGATATTTCCTCCAAGAGTTTCATCAATTTTCCCTCCTTCTCGTACTCCTCGCAGACATCAACAATCTGCAGGATGTTGTGATTAGCAGCAAGCTGAAGAGATCCAACATTGATCTGAATATAATTGGTGAGAAATTCCTCAGCGAGATTTCTGACCTCCTTGGGCCAGGTTGCTGACCACATGAGGGTTTGCCTATCAGGTCTGATCTGCTCAACGATTTTCCGTATCTGGGGCTCGAATCCCATATCCAGCATTCTGTCAGCCTCATCAAGAACAAGGTATGTGCACCTCCTGAGGTTGGTGGTACCCCTCTCAAGAAAATCAATGAGACGTCCAGGAGTTGCGATGCAAATTTCAACGCCTCTCTCGAGATCCCTGGCCTGTGGCCCCTTGGGTGCTCCCCCGAAGATGCAGGTGTTCCTCACCTGGGAGGAGACACCAAAATCAGCAGCAACTTGCTGAATCTGTTGAGCAAGCTCTCTAGTTGGTGCCAGAACCAGAGCAATGGGTCCATCACCCCTGTTGAGTCTCGGTTGATTGTTTATGTGGACTATTGCTGGAAGAATGTAGGCAAGAGTCTTTCCTGACCCAGTCTGAGCTATTCCCACCATATCCCGACCAGACAGGGCTATTGGCCAGCCCTGGGCTTGAATAGCTGTTGGTTCACCAAAACCCTGTCTTCTGATTTCCGTCAGGACATAATCAGGGAAGCCTCCCTCCTCGAAGTAGATGTTTGGATTTGGTACTGTTGTACCCTTTACTGTGATCTCCTTGGCTGATCGATACGCCTCGACTGCATGTGGACTTCTTCCCACGACATTTGGATGGGGCCGGTAGAAATCCTTTGTAAATGGCTGAAGACTATTCATATCCCATCGAGGCTTACGGAGGCGCTCTCCTGGCTGGCGATTCTTGAATGAATTACTGTTGAAGGACGAGTTGTCCCGGTTGTTCGAGAAACGAGAGTTTTGGTCACGATTTCCATAACGAGGTCCCGATGGTCCTGAGTTACGATTACCACCACCACGAGGACGATCGTTACGGTCTCTGTCTCGGAATGACCTAGGATTAAACAGATGTTTTATTAGAGGATTCATCAAAATATTAAACGTAAGATGATATCTCCCCTATCATATTTCACCATCTTCCATCAACTGGCAGATATCCAACAATGAATGACATCTGATAATCTATTTCTAACCAATCAATCCTCCGCTTGTCAAGAAATTACACCCCTCCACTGCCCCCAGAAAAAAATCTCCCCCAGGCAAAAAGAAAGAGTGAAATTCATCCCAGAAAAAAATCGATGTAATGAAGTCATATCAGGCAGTATGCTCCAATTACGCATGTACAGAATATGTTTTGATTTCGAATGAGGTTAAGAGCGACTCGAAATGCCAGACTGCTCTAAAAGAATTTTCGAGAACAATTGGTGGAATGATTGATGCTGTATGCACTCCATATCGAGAAGTTTCTTAAAAAAAAAATACTGACATCAGGGAGTTTCACTATGGCGTTTAGATTGATTAGGAGGAATAGCTCGCTAACTACCTCGAAACAACTCTAAACCTCGAAAATAAACAATTTTTCATACTCACATGACTTTATGGTTTCGGTGACAGTGAGTTATGAGGTAATAATCACTTGTTTATGTCAAATATTGAATAATTGGGGTGTGATAGACGTGACGAAGGCGTCGCTCAGAGAATCCACAAGGGAATCTGATGAGGAAGATGTAAATGGCGGTCGAAACTAAGAAAAATAGTCCCTTTAAAAATTTTTACCCTTTCACCTGCACTTTTCGTTGAGACATAACGAATCAAAAAAATTCAGGGACAGCAAAAGTTTCGATTTTAAATGGAAAATAAATTTATGAATGCTCGTTTCGTTGAATATTCCACTGGATAAATGATCGGGTCGTTGTGAATCCGCCAGGATGCCCTATTGGTCTAACCACACCTGAAAAAAGGAGAGTGGGGGATATGTCATGGAGGCAATGAGGCTCCAATTTCAAACAGGAAACTTGGTGCTTTGTTTTTGTTTTTCAAGTGTTTTTATTCACGAGTAATTAATCAAATCTACAGAAGACCTCAACTTCCCATAGTTTGTCATACCATTGAGTCTTTATAGTTTGTCGAACAAACTGAATAGTCTAGACTGAAATCACAGAAGTGTTTAATTCGTATTTGGAGAAAATAAAAACAAAAACTTACGAATTCATATAAACTCCATCATTTCTAATCAACAAAATTGTGCTCTCATATACTCATTGAATATTGACTAGCGAATGCTGGTTGTTCCAATTTAAACCACAGCTCCCCCATTCTAATCCTAAATTTTAATTTTTAACTGTAAAAATACTGAAATTATCATTGAGATCATTATAAAATCATGGGGATAAAATAGTAAATCAAAATGTTATGGATTCAACTGGAATTGTGCATTGAATCTACGAGAGACTCCCCAAGATACCAAAGAATGATACAGTACGTTCAGTTTTGAAATGTAAGAAATACTCAGAAGTCTCAAAAGTTCACATTAATATTGCGAATTATTTCCATAAAAATTTCCTCCACCGTTATACCCCTGGATATTACTGCTCTGCATGTAATTTCTCTGGGGATTGTATCCATAGCCGGGATTGTGTCCACCTGTGGACTTGACTGGATAATTCGCTGGAGGATAAGATTTCACATTGGAATGATATGGCATCCCGCCTCGAGCAGTTCCTGGTCGAGGTCGAATGGCATTTCCAGGTATTCTAGAGTCATTGGGGGCTGAACGTTTGGCTGGACGATCTGAGCTATTCGCAGATGAATTGAAACGTTTGGGGCCTGGAGGAAAATTCCACGTGAATTTTAAAAGTCAATCCGATCATCAAATGTAAGTCTTGAAAAAAAATCTAAGGTGCTAATTAAAATTTACCTCGTGCAAAACCTCCAGATTTGGCAAGCTCAGCCATCTCACTCAGTCTAGGATTGATAGTCTGTCCAGCTTCTCTCAGGACTTCAATCAAATCCCCTGCATGTTTCATATTTTGACTCGTAAAAAAAGCATACGCCGTCCCTGTCTGTCTTCGACGCCCAGTCCTGCCGATTCTGTGGATATAATCCTCGGAGGATGATGGGAAATCAAAATTTATGACGTATTTCACATCGTCTACATCTGCAAAGCATCAAGCAAGTGGACAATTATTTTTTTTTATCCACCAGTGCATTTATTGGTGCTAATTAATTGTATTTAAAATTCTTTCTCATTTCATTATACCTAATCCCCTGGCAGCGACATCAGTGGCAACAAGAATAGGTGTCCTTCCACTCCTAAACTCCTGCAGAACATGATCCCTCTCCTGCTGATTCTTATCCCCATGAATACTGAGTGCCTGCCAGCCATCACGTCTGATATTCCTCGTAATATCATCGACTTTCCTCTTGGTCTCAACGAAAATAATAGTTTTATTCTCCTTCTCGGTGCCAATCTCCTGCAGGAGTCTCTGTAGCTTGAAGTCCTTCTCGAACTCCTGGCAGACGTCGACGATCTGAATGATATTGTGGTTCGCTGACAGTGACAATGAGCCGATGTTAAGCTGTGTGTAATTGCTGAGGAAGTCCTCAGCTAGAGATCGAACCTCCTTGGGCCACGTTGCAGACCACATGAGAATCTGGCGGTCAGGACGAATTTGTTCGATTATCTTACGAATCTGAGGCTCGAATCCCATGTCCAGCATTCTGTCGGCCTCATCGAGCACCAGATAAGTACATCTCCGAAGATTTGTAGTGCCTTTCTCGAGGAAATCGATCAGACGACCTGGGGTTGCGATGCAAATCTCCACGCCGCGCTCCAGATCTTGGGCCTGGGGGCCTTTGGGAGCTCCACCGAAGATACAGGTGTTTCTCACTGATGCTGTCTCACCGAAATAGTTAGCAACCTCCTGAATCTGTTGAGCTAATTCCCGGGTCGGTGCTAGGATCAGCGCCACTGGACCCTCCCCAGGACCTGGCCGAGGTTGGTTAATCAGGTGAACGATTGCAGGGAGGATGTACTTGAGGACAAAAAAAAACATTTTCAAAAGTGGAAAATAGATTCATTCATTGATTCTTATATTTTTGGCAGTTCCACATTTATTTAAAGTTTGATTTCACTATTGAAAACTCTTTCCAGTCAATTATTCGAGGCAAATCCATGAAAATTACATTTATAAAAAGATGAATTTAATTTTACAGTACTAAATACGAATTTATCTAAAATACCTATTCATTTTATTATAAAACATCAAAAGACCTTTTTTCTTGAAAATTTCTACAGCTCAAGACTGCTCTTAAATGTTATTACCTCAGATCGATAGTAAAGAGGAATAGAAACCTTGTTTTATCTCTCTGTACCACTTCAGTACTGAAATAGTCTTCCCCCATTTTCACAGAGTACTCCTCATTATCGAGGCAATTCCATATTTTCCACAATATGAAGAATCGATTTCCCATTACATCTACTTGTCTTGTCTACTGAATGGCTCTCAACTTACTCCGAGTGTTTTCCCCGAGCCAGTCTGAGCAATGGCAACAAGATCTTTTCCACTGAGTGCAACAGGCCAGCCTTGAGCCTGAATGGCTGTGGGATGAACATACCCCTGTCTCTTTATTCCCTGCATAACATAAGGTGGGAAGTTGCCCTCCTCGAAGTGCTGAATAGGATTGGGCACATCCTTGCCCATCACCGTAATCTCATTCGCTTGACGAAATTTGTTGACTTCCTCTGGTGACCTACACCAATCAATAAATAAACGTGTAAATATTCTCGATCGGTCTCTCAGTGCTTTTCAATACTGATACAAAATCTGTTTGGAATTCTCATTAAAATTCCATTGTAAATATTCAATTTTCGTTTTAATTTCACTTTTCTGACTTCCCGAGGGTTTTAAACCGTTATTGCCAATGTTTTTTTCATTTTTTTTTGTTTGTAAATTTCTCCGATACCCTGTGTATCATTATTCAATGACTCATAAATTTTCATAGTCATCAGTTATTTTTATAAATTTGTGGTAAAATTTGTGAATTTTTTCAAAAATTCACTGAGAACGTAAGAAAATTCGTCCACGATGATGAAACTTCCCGAGACATTGAATAATAATGAAACATAAAAACAGTATATTTTTTTGCGTCAATTTCATCAATCGTGCTCAGAAATTTCATAAAAAATCTTGAAAAATAAGAAAATATTGACTACAACTGCTTAAAAGCTTTGAAGAGCCGATTACACGTGAAAGCACTGATTATTTCCACTGTTTTGATCTCTGAGACATTGATGTTAACCCCTCAATGAAAAAATTAATTTAACAAAAAAGTCCCTTTCTCCCTCAATAGTCGTACATCGGGCCCCTGGACTCAGGATGAAAATATCTCCTTCATTTTCACTTTTTTAGTCGGTACGTAGGATTAATTGAAATTACCTGTGTTTGACCGCCGGATGCTCCACATAAAAGTCTTTTTTGATCGGCTGGAGAGACCTGACATCCCACTGCAGCTTCCTCAAGGCACTTCCAGGTTGTTTACCTTTCATTCCCCCTCTGTTCCCCCCAAACCTGTGATTATCATGTTTACCCTCATATTTCATATCACGAGGACCCCTCGGGTGTCCCCCACCTCGACCCCCACGTCCATGATCCCTCTCATGATGATACCTGAAAAATTCCATCGCAAAATCATCCCCATCCCCACAAAAACACAATGAAAATGAATAATCCACGGGGTCAAAGGTCAACCCAACGAGTTAGAAACAGAATATCGATTCTAATGAGATATGCAAAGGTGATGAGAAAAATGGCGGTTGCATGATGAACAAATGCAATTGAATTAATCCATTGATACCGGAACCCCAGTCACTGAAATGACAAATTTTCATTTGTTTTCCCCTGTACTCACATCGTCCAACGATTTCCGATGAATTATTCGGCCACTTGGCAACAGTTTCCAACTCTCTGTACGCAACTACTTGAGAATCAATCGATAGTGACTATCGGCGCACTGTTGATGACAAATTAATCAGGATTTTTTGTGAATCAACGGTTGGGTGGACAACACTGAATTTTGGTATGATGAGGGTCGTCACTGGGTTGTTGATGATGAAGAGGAAGTTACTGCCAATGGTGTCAGAGATGTTTTGGACTTTGCCGGCAACTCCCGCCGGCCGAAGAACTGACAAGTGAACTTCCGAAAATAGTCCCTCCGTAAACTGTTGCCTAGACAACTGCGGAGGGATACTATTTCCACCCATTCTTCAAGGGAATCCACAATGTTTTTCCCGAAGAAGAGTTTTACAATATAAAATTACGAGTGTCCTGAGAAAAAAGAAATTCACCATCAATTCATTCTCTTCACAAAGATATTCATTCTTTTAACTATTTACGCACTCCCCCATTGAGTTATTCCAAAAAATTCCCTCTTAGGCTGCAATTACGATTATTCTTTACATCTGGATAAATAGTTCGACTGAAATTTCTCGTTATTTCTGCTGAATTTATGAGGAAAATATTGGCAAATCAAGAGTCAAATTTTGGCGCCAATGCGAATGTCTCGTTTGCCATTTTTCGAGTGGGAATACCAGAGAGGATTGACTAACGTAGAGGCTGAGTTCTGGGGGTTGGAGTCAAAGAGGATTGACTGAAGTAGAGGCTCAGTTCTGGGGGTTTGAGTGACCCCAGCGGCATCGTAGTACTGCACCCCAAGAGAGGGAGGGCGCCAGACGCAATGGGGGTGTCGTCCCGTCAGCCGACTCGGTAACTGCCTCAGTGTCCCGCTGTCAGAGTGACCAGTCAACTGGGTGAATTTTATTTTATGTGTTACGAAATTGGTATTCACTGAAATTGAAAAATGACAAATTTTCAAAAAAGTATCAGAGAAGCAAAAAATGGAGGAGGTATCCACTGAAATTTGAAAATTCAAAATTTTTTAAAAAATATCAGGAGAGCATAAAAATCGAGGAGGTATTCACTGAAATTTGAAAATTCGAAATTTTTTAAAAAGTATCAGGAGAGCATGAAAATCGAGGAGGTATTCACTGAAATTT